TTTCAAGCTCTTGGCAAGTGGGGCGTTTTAGGTGCTCTTTGACATGTGAGCCTTTCTGTACCTTACAGTTTTGCTCTTGTATTGGTTTAGCACACACACACACTTTCGTAAACCTCATCTTGCCTGGAAAGTAAGTGCCTCATTTCCAACCATACACACACACACACACACCAGTCTCCTCTCCATCTGGACATGTCTGCTCCTCAGTGGAGGCAAGTCCAACCAGAAGCAGAAGAAAATGTGTAAAAGGTGAATATAGTTCAGCCCAAAGCATGGTCTTTGGAGTGAGGTGACTGCTCCTGGGAATGAACACGTGCCTCAGACAAAGGGCGTGAGAGAAGCACAGATGTTGGCATCAGAGAGCTTTGAGTCTCATCGGAGATTCCCCACATACATAATTAGGCTGTAAAAGAGATGCTAATGAATGTTTCCGGAGAAACAGTTAACATGAGTGCCGGCAGAATAGTACATCGTCATACAGAGAAACATTTTATAAAATAATATGGAGTATAATTAACTACATAAATTGGTAAGTAGTTATCTATCGTATTATCAAATAATATGCATGTACACAATTGTATTGCTGCACTTTCATGTGACTAGTGGCTCTGTAGTTTCACACCAGCGTGACTCAGCATCGATGTGTGGCCATTGTGCTAGTTTTTATGTGAATGGCACAGGCTAAGGTCTTTTTTTAGAGGAGAGAACTTTGAGAAAATGTCTTCAGTAGACTGTAGGCAAGTCTGCAGAGCATTTTGTTAGTGACTAAAGTGAGAACAAGCCACAGGGAACTCCCCCATGGCTTCTGTGTCAGGTCCTGCCTTCAGTTCCCACCCTGACTTGCCTCAGAGATAGGCCTTGATTGGGACATGCAAGCTGAAACACCCTGGTTGGTGTTTTATCACGGCAATAGAAACCCTACGACATATGGAACCCCACTATGTATATGGTCCATCATTGAAACATTGCTTTGTGGTGGATGACTGTACCCAGTACTTGTTTCTTTGGGGACTTTTTACTGTCCGCTTGTTGGCAGGTCCTTGCTAGGTAGGCTTGACAGCCCTCTGGAACTCATCCAGTAGCCAGAGCTGGCAGTTTCTCTTCCCTGGTTCTTTACAGCCTTTTATCCTCCTCCAGCTTGGCCTTCCCAGCCTGTTTTCACTTTCCTTTGTTCCTGCCCTGGCCCCTCTCTGCACTGTTGAGTTGCCTCTCCTGCAGCAGTCAGGCAGCAGGCTGCCTTTTGCAGCTCAGCCTGAGTCCACCAAGCACTTTGCTGCATCTGCTGCTTCGTTCTTCATGTGACCAACTCAGCCCACAATCTTAAGAATAGAAAAGACCCAAGAAAAACCTCTTCACTATTACAACACCAGCGTGACTCAGCATCGATGTGTGGCCATTGTGCTAGGGGAGGCAGCTGGGGCAGGGGAGGGGGGCTTTAGTTGCCTTCTTAACTAGAGGAAAGTGTTTATACATTCAGATAGTTTAGGGTTGCTCCAAATCTGAGCATTGCCTCTTAGGTGTGGGTGGACATGGTTGAGGGGAGAGACTCAGTTACAACTCGCCAAGGCTTGTGATAGTCAAAGTCTAGTACAAACTTTTTGAAGCTGCCCTGACTGAGGCTGCACTTTCACTACCCCAGCCAGGGCACTCATCTGAGATAAAGGCATTCCAGGAGTGTTCTAGACTGTTGGTGCTGGCATAAGTCATGTTGGCTGTTTGACGGACAGTTCTTGCACTCAATGGATATACCACTCTCCAGCTAGCTAAGTTATTGAGGTGGTTCATGACTAGCTAAGCTATGAAGATGGTTTCTCAAAGAACCTGGTTCTTGTACTGCTTGTTGACCTTAGCACCAAGTGGAGGCAGAATGAACTAGTAAGACACAATACAACTCACAAGGCAAACAAGAAGTAGAGCTTTGAATACCAATCAACTTTGGTTCTTAGAGGGGAATCTTAAATGCAGCTGCACTTACATGGCTCTGCTGGTTGCTGACATAGCTGTTTCTTTCCGTAAGACTGGTACCCAATGCTGGTGCCTTGGAAGTAAAACTTGATGTAGAGCCCACTTCGTCATACATAGTAACATGCTGGCAATGTGAATAACTCTAATGAAGCCTCCTGTCACCAGACATACGTGTTCAAAATTACAACCACTCTATGCGGAGTAATGAACTTGTGGACACTGCTGCTCAAGTTTAGGATCTGTCTATTGCTTGTACTGGGTGCCGCTTGTACCAGGTGACTTTCCTACACAGAATTCAGTCTTCAAGTGTATTCTTATGCCAAGATTTCATCCGCATACAAGAAATACAGAGAGAGGGCATCAGAATATCACAGTGCTTGTATATTTGTAATACAGATGCAGAATGCCAGCAACTGAGAACACTCCGGTCACCCAGTACTGTAGGAACTGTAGGAAAGTACCACATAGAAAATTGCTCACTGCATTGCTCACCACACCTACAGTCACCCGAATCAGATCTGCACAGGATTGAGCCAGTCAATATTTCATCATGGATCCGGGAGCCCTTCCCCTCCGTGAAGGACTTTTGACAGTTAACATTCTGATGGGGGATATCCCATATGCTGTGAATATTTGTTTCTCTTATTGGTTGATGAATAAAGCTGTTTCAGCCAATGGACAGGCAGGATTTAGCCAGGCAAGAAACCCAAACAGGGATAGAGAATGGTAAGTAGGCAGAGTCAGGGAGATACCATGAAGCTACCAGGAAGGTAGGATGCCTGGGCATTCTCTGATAAACCAAGACTCTGTGGAGATACACAGATTAATAGAAATGGGTTAGTAATTAAGAAAGAGCTAACCAATAAGAAGCCTGAGCAATAGGCCAAACAGATAATTAATATAAGCCTCTGTGTGTTTATTTGGGACTAAAAGGCTGCAGGACTGGGCTGGACAGAAACTTCAGTCTACAATAGTCTATGGAAAAGGAGTATCATTTTGTTGCCATTGCTCCAGTAAATGAACTTCCACCTGTGTTCAAGCAAGAAACTCTCACTGGATTTAGTGAGTCACACACAAAAAGACAGAAGTAGGCGAGGTCATGTGAGCAGAAGGGTTTTAATAGGAGGGGAGATGCAGAGAAGCCAGGAGTGAAAATAACTAAAATGTACTCTATTCATGTATGGATGGAACTGTCAAACAATAAAAGAAAGTTGGTTTTTGGTGGTTTTGTTTTGTTTTTGTTTTTCCCCAAGACAGGAGGGTTTCTCTGTGTAACCGTGGCTGTTCTGGAACTCACTCTATAGAGCAGGGAGTCCTCAACTCAGAGATCCACCTGCCTCTGCCTCCTAAGGGCCGAGATTAAAGGCCTGTGCCACCACTGCCTGGCCCAATGAAAGAATTTTTAAAAAGAAAATTGTCATTGCCTCAGAAGCACATGACTTTAAAGTCTCTGGCCTAAAGGGCGAGGGGCTTAGAATTAATTTAATGTTTGTACTCTGGGGTCCAACTTAATCTCAGCAGCCTAAAAATAAATGTGAGTAAGCTGTTAAATTTTCCAGTAACAGCCAGGCAGTAGTGGCACAGGCCTTTAATCCCAGCACTGGAAAGTCAGGCAGATCTCTGTGAGTTTGAGGCCAGCCTGATCTACAGAGCGAGTGCCAGAACAAGCTCCAAACTACAGAGAAACCCTGTCTCAGGGAGGAAAAAAAAAAAAAAAAAATCCAGTAACATGTTATCTGAGCCTTGCAAAAGTAGAATTAGCTTCTTAATAAGATAGACATGCCTAGATCAAAACTAAATAACCCCTTACTCCTAAGTATCTAAAACTCTTTTTTTATTACATTTATTTAGTGTGTAGGGGCGGGGTGGGGAGGTGTCGGGGAGTAATTAAAGTGAGTGGGTCTCGTCTTCCACTGTGTGAGTACCAGGGCTTTTTAACTCATGATGTCAGGCTTAGCAGCAAGTGCCTTTACCCACTGAGCCATCTCACCAGCCTCTCAAAAATCTTTAAATTACCTTTCCATGGTTATCAGAAATTACCAACTAACTTTGTTACTTGACAAGATTTTTTCCCTTATTTCTCCCCATTAATTTCTTTCATTACATAATTGATAAAATGGTTGTATGTGGTAATTTGAAAGAAAATAGCCCCCAAAGGGAGTGGCACTTTTGGGAGGTGTAGCTTTGATGGAATGGGTATGGTCTTGTTGGAGGAAGTGTGTTTCTGTGACGGCGAGCTTTGAGGTCTCATATATGCTCAAGCTTTGCTCAGTATGATACTTAGTCTACTTCCTGTTGCCTGCATATCAACATGTAGTAGCTCCTTCTCCAGCACCATGGCAGCCTGCACAGTCATGAACCCCACCATGATGATAATGGACTAACCCTCTGAAACTGAAAGCCACTAGTTCAATTGAATGTTTTCGTTTATAAGAGTTGCCATGGTCATGATGTTTCTTCACAGCAATAGAAACCCTAAATGACATCATGTGTCTTAGTGACTACGTGAGTTCAAATCATATACTTTATCTAGGGACATATGATTACAATTCTGTGAGAGAAATAATGTTTCAGTGTATACTGGTTTATAATAACTGACTATGTAGGCATAAACATCTAAATAAGTAGTGAAATAAAAGAAAAAGAGCCAAAGATGAATGAAGAACTTCCTGCAAGCCTCTGGCATACCCTTCTTAGTCTTGTTACCTGATCTGACAAAGTTCATCGTCCTGGTTCCTGTCCCTGACAAACTGTTGACAAGAAGAAGGGAACTCACCTGAGACAGCCAGGCCTGTGCCTGGAACAGAGAACAGGGACCAGCTTTCCTGATGAATACTACAGGCAGCAGAAATGGATGCCAGTAAAGCAAATGTCTGCTGGCCTTCTGTTACAAAGCAGATGGCATGATGGCTTCTGCAGAAACAGTGTTCACTGTAGCATTAGGAACACTATACCCATAACTGTGCTGTGTGTGTGGTCTGAGACAGTGTGAATGAAGAATAACATCTTACTGCTTTTATTTTACTGTCCCATAGGAGCTGGGTAGCACTGAACCTGTCAGTAGTGAGGAAGACAGCAGTGTGGACGTTAAACACCTGCCTGAAACTGAGAGCCCCAAAACGGTAAGGATCCTAGACTGGGAAAGCTTGGGGCTTGCACTTACTACCTCTAGCGGAAGGACTGCCTGCCTGCTGTCCTGGTCACTAGGTGCTTTGAGCTCTGAGACGGAAGAACTTTACACTCACTCGGCAAGTGAGTGGTTCTCATAGCACAGCATCTCCCCTACCACACTTGACTTGTGATGTCTAGGACTGCAGCAACAGGCAGCCAACCACTCTTTCCGATGCAGTTCAGCCAGCCCTGGGTATTTCCAGGGTCTGAACTGAAGGAACCTTAGCAATACAAGAGGAGATGATAGTCTTTGAGTCCTAGTAAAAGATACATAGTTGCCACAGATGAGGGAAGTGTGGCTTTCCCATGAGGTGCATATGAGGTCTTGTTTAATTGTCTTCTTTGAACCAAGCTTTCTGGTGTGTTCTGCATCCATGAGGGTGGTGACCAGTCCTTTGTAAATAAGGATACACAGTCAAAGAAGTTTATTTTCTTCAAAGGTCAATGGCTTTTTGTGCACATGTTCTCTGGGTCCATGCCTTTTTTCATGATGTGTCTTTCTGATTTGTAGCCAGTCACTTCCAAAGTTGACTACAACTGTTAGAAAGGATTAGGGGTTGGTTTTGGTTGTTGTTGTTCTTTCCCTCTATGTTTCAAATGTCTATAGACCTCCAGAAACCTACCACTTGGATGATTTTAAATCTGCCCGAGGTTTTATTTTACCTGAAGAAGTATGAGGAGTCATCCATTTCTTTATCTTTTTTCAGCTTTTAGAAAAAAAAAATGGATTGGAACTTCTCAGATTTTATCTCCAACTAAGTGAACTGATTTGTTCAGGCAGAAAGGAAAGGTTACTTCAACAAGAATAGAAATGTCACAGATCACAATAGGGCAATCCCCAGTATCAAGGGGAGCAATAATAACACATAGGGACCCTTGTTTCTCTTCAAAAGATGATGCACATCTGTACTGAAGGCCATTCATTTAAATAAAAGTTATTTGCTCTTTGGGACACTGTATCACTATGAATACATTAGAGCAGTGAGTGTTTCTCAACCTTCCTAGTACTGGAACCCTTTAATACAGTTCCTCATGCTGTGGTGACCCCCAACCATGAAATTATTTTGTTGCTACTTCACAATTATAATTTTGCTACTGTTATCAATTTTAATGTAAATATCTGATATGCAATCCCAAAGGGGTTGTGACTCACAGGTTGAGAACCACTGCATTAGAGAAAAGTGTTTTAAAGCAACATGATTTTTGTAGCAGTCCTTAATTCAGTCCCCAGAAGAAATGGAGAGAAGGAGTGGGGAAAGGAGAGACATTCTCTTATTTCTTGAAGAGGCTGAGAATACCAACAAGGCTTCAGATAGACGCCATCCTTCATCCACTCTGCTCCTAGGCACCAATAGTGAAGACATGGTTCACAAACAACTTAAGAGTTAAGAGGTCTGAAATATTGAGCTTCATTAAAAAAAAAAAAAAGCTGTGTGTGTGTGTGTGTGTGTGTGTGTGTGTGTGTGTGTGTGTGTGTGTGTGTTGCCTGCATGTAAATCTGAGTCTGGGCTTATTTTTAGATATCAATTCATCCAAGAGTAACTGGATCCCTACTCTTGTTATGTTCCTCTCCCTTTATTCCTTCCCCTCCCATCTTCCTTGTTTTCTGGTATTCTAAAATTTCTGTCACCATTTTCAGTGGAACCTATCTAATTGAGAGAAAAAAGCCTGAATTTGGACACATTTTCTAACATAATATAAATGGTCTCCTATTTAAGAAGAGTTTGGCCTTAGCCTGTAGTGGCAGCACACAACTTTTCCCCCTCAGATTATATTCCTAGTAAAAGGGAGAACCAGGGTCTGTACCCAAGGAGTCTGGCTCCAGTGTTTACTCGTCTCAGACTTGGGATGATCTTCATGTATCGGCCTTCCAAATGCTAGAATTACAGATGTGAGCCACCTCCAGTGAGTTTTTGTTCTTGATGTTATTGTTTTGTAAATTCTTTCTAAAGCATTAATGGGTGATAATAAAAGGATTGAGTTCAGAGTTGTTTGAAGTGCACTTTTCAGCCTCAGAATGAAAGTGCTAACCTACTGATGGTTCTGCAGGAAGGAAGACCAGTAGATGGGCATGTCAGAGGAGGGTACCAGGGGAACTGACTTACTGACTGTGGATTCTCAGAAGCCCCACAATAGGTTGTCTATACACTGAAGAACACAGAAGCCAAGTCCAAAGGCCTTGGAACCAGGGATGTCACTGGGTTGTGGTATTCACATGCTGGAGATCCTGGGGTGCTGGCATCAAAGGCTGGGAGAATCTGGTACTGTTACTCCAGGAAGGATGGGGAAGAGGAATTACTCTGAGCCTGCCTGTGCAAGCAGTAGTTAGAGATAGGAAACTAGGGTGCTGAAACAGGAAAGAAGCTGCCTAAAACCATCCAGCTTGGAGGCTCACTGTGTAGCAAAGACTCATAGTGATGCACACACAATGAATCCAAAGTCCACCAACCATGAGGAACTCACACACTCACACTGGCATCATTGCTCTACACACACACACACCTTTCTCTCAGTCATCAACTCCTAACATCAAAATTTTTGAGATAGAAACATGTCATTAAAGAGGTGAATTTTAATGGCTCAGTGGTTATGAGCACTGACTGCCCTTCCAGAGGACCCAGGTTCAATTCCCAGCACCCACATAGCAGCTAACAACTGTCTCTAACTCCAAGATCTGACACCCTCACACAGACATGCAAGCAGGCAAAACACCAATGCACATAAAATAAAAATAAATAGATTAAAGAGAGGAAATTTACACATAGTGCATTTTACATTGGTCAGTGAAACAATTCATATACAGATGTTTAATAAAATGAAAGAAACTAAAATATTTCCTAAGCCAGCCTGTGCCAGGCATGTTCACAGCAGTGATCTTATTGAACCCCAAGGTGTATGTGGTCCTGGCTGCTGAGGAGCTGTACTTAAGGGGTGGCAGTCTCTTCTGAGATTTCACAGCAGGGAGTTGGTACAGCCAAACCTCAAGCTCAGTCCTGTACTGTGTTGATCATATGGGTGACCCTCTTTCTCCTCTCCCCTACTCTCTCCTCTCCCCTTCTCTAGTCTACTCTTTTCTTTTCTACTCTTCTCTTCTCTCCCCTTCTCTTCTCTCTCACCTCTCCCTGCCTTCCCCCCCCCCCTCTCTCTCTCTCTCTGTGTGTGTATGTATGTGTCTCACTCACCCGTATACAATGGTGGTTTGCCTACATGTATGTCTGTGTGAGGATGTTAGATGCCTTAGAACAGGAGTTACAGATAATTGTGAGCTGTCATGTGGGTGCTGGGATTTGAACCCTGGTCCTCCTTAAGAAGAGCCAGTGCTCTTAACTGCTGAGCCATCTCTCCAGCCCTAGATGACTTTTCCTAAAGTGAAAGAAATATCAGGGATCTGTTTGCTGTGTGTGCAGGGAGCCCAGTAATGAGCAGAACTTCAGATTCTGTTTGTTGCTTGGTTAGACAAGGTCTTCTAGGTACCCTGGGCTAGTCTTGGGCGGGTGGTACTCCTGCCTCAGCCTTACAGTGCTGGTGCTATAGGCATGTATCACCATACATGACTGTGTTTTTAAAAGGCTTGAGATGCACACATGCTCACACTAGGCTTCCATGTTTAGAAGCTTGGTGGTTAGGTGAGAAGGAAGGAATATAATGGGGGAGGGTTCAGTGCTTTCTTACAAATTACCTCTGTGTTGACCACTGTATCTCTAACTCTGTCTTGGTCCACAATTTTCTGCTTTCCTGTAAAGCCAATTTACCTTTTCTGTCTTTTTGGCTATCTTTCATGCTATTAGAGTTACTAATAACAAAAAAAATTCTAAACAACCAGCTCACAATAAATAATAAAAAGAAAACTAAGGTAAACAATGGGAAAGAATGCTAATATTTCTCCAAAGATATACAAATTATGAGTTTGTATGTGAAAGATGTTCAAGATTTTTACCACTTAGAGAAATGCACATCAGAGCACTCATGAGATGTGACCTCATACAGCAGTCACAGTGAGGTATGGCTGCGCATTTAGCAGAAAGACTGTAGTCAGCACAGCAGATAATGACAGATACTGTGGGGTGTGGAGAGGCTGGGACCCCACTCATTAATCACTGCAGGATCCCAAGGGAGTGCTAGCTTCCATGAATCTGCTACTGAAGGTAAACAGATACTGCCTCCTATGTTGGCTGCATCACAATTATATTGAAATCTCTACTTTGATCAAGCTAAGGACTAAAAAATACTTGGCACTCACAGGTCATATGAATGAGGGGCTCATCTAGGAACATCTGAATTGAGATTTAAAGAAGCTGTCTATATATTTATCTCTTAGTCTCTATATGAGGATTCATTTCCAGGTCCTCAAGATACCAAATCTTTAGATGTCCAAGTCCCTCATATAAAATGGTTAGGTCTTTGCTATAATCTATATCCATTCTCCTCTGTGACATGAAAACTCAAATGGAAGCTGGCAGCTCATTTTACCACTTCCGGGTTCCATCCACTGGGCTTCCTGGATGTGAGGAGCACCCTGCTCCCTGCCTTGAAATGCCTGGTCCATGGAAGATGCTCAAACACTTCAGGGGAGATCAGTTTTTCTTGTGTTACAAAGTGCCTGCACGTCAAGATGCCCTGGTGTGGCTCCCTTTGCAAATGCGAGGACTGTAAGGTGAATCAAGAGCCCAAGCCTGTAAAGACCTGAAAAGGCTCACACTGCTCACCCCTGACTGTTCCTACTAGCCTGGCTCTTTGCTGCCTCTTTGTTGTGAGGATTGGGTATGATTCTATACGTGAAACTCAACGGCACTTGCCTGAAGCAAGGCTTAGTCAGCAGATTCTAGCATTAATACCAGACCCTGCGTAGGTAATAGCCAAGTGTGCCAAAGCCCTCATTTTTCAGCCCACATTTTCTTAGAAGCTGCAGTATAACTAACTATCTCTAAGAAGTAAAAACACAAGTTATAAT